AACTTTATCACGAATAGTGCTTGTATGCCCATCGCTATTCATCACCTTTAAAAAATCATATAATATTTAAAATACTCTTCTTGAGATTTTCATTTTTTTAATACAACCGCTATAGACTTCTTCGAGTGTCAAATATAATTCTCTTTCAATAGAAGCATCCTGTCGCATTTGCCCTCGACCATTTATGCCGCCAAAATTATTTCGTACTTGATTATCCATTTCAGTGTAAATAGCTACAAGATAAAAATTTGAAAAATTTACCCTTGAATGGATTGTCACCCCCAAAAAATTCTTTAAAGGTTCGATTTGCATCTCCATGGTAAACGTATCCTTTGATCCATTCATCTTCACCAGGACAACCATGCTTTAGACCCTCTTCACCAAATTGGTCAAATATAGCGCGTCTTTGTGGATCATATAAGGCGTCATAGGCTTCACATATAAGTAAAAATTTTTCAACGGCTGATTCGCCTGGTTCACATTTGAGGGGGTGATATTTTAGGGCAAGTCTACGAAAGCTGCAGGTAAATAATAAAAAAAGGAAAAAATTAAATATTCTAGTAATTCGTAGAATAAACCTAATGTTATTGGAAAAAATGTAAAATAAGCCATATCTCGAAGTGTATAAAGTAAATTAAATATTTTTCTAACGCTTTATTTAGTTCATTGAGGGTGGCATTTCTTTTTATTCCCAAAATAGAATAATAGTCCTGGCCCATACTAAGACGCTTGAAGAGGGCGCGTTTGTGTTGCCTTGAGAACTAGGTAACACCGCAAAAATGGCGCATGCAATGAAGTTTGTATAAGTATTTAATAGAGTATGCAAATGCTATTTTAATTTCTTGAAATTTTATGTAATACATAGTATTTATTAATTTGAAATTCAATAAAAATAACCAATCAAAAGATTTTTATATCTACTTTATTTAGTTATAATACTTGTTTTTATAGGGGTTGGATGTCAGTCAAAATATGATAATCTTATCGACTCAATGTAATTGAGTAAAACTTAAAGCAATCACTAGAATGATATTTTCCGTTGTTGTGCTTAAGTAGCTATATTCGATTCAACAAAGGCATACCCAACTTGAGTATTAAATAAGTTATATTTATCAAATCATACTATTATAAATTAGCAACGCTTAAATTTTAGCAAAATCCGAAAAATTGTTTCT